GAACAAGCATCTGCGGGTCACTAACCTCAGGGAGCACAGGCTCCACACAGAGCTCAGCCGACCCCGCAGCGCAAACTTCGAGAAGCGCGGAGCTAAAGACCAACCGTCAAGCCCGCCGAAGCTAGCGGAATCCCCGCATTCGAAACTGTACCCAATCGTGCAGAGGTACACGCAGTGCAAGCAAGGCCATACGGCAAAGCGAGGCCCTGCAAGCCTATACAAAAGAAAAGTTGGCAAACAGCGTGAAACATGCAAGCCATCACCACAGGCAAGGCCTTGAGGCACAGGCAGCAACACGCAAAGCCGATCTTAACACCACCGTAAAGCAACGGTGAATTGCATGCGCACACAGCGCACCCAGCCCAAGGTCACTCAGACCTGCCATGAGCGGCAGTCGCTCTCCTATGGATGGCGATCATGCAAGAGCAAATGCCCGGCCACACAGCACGAACCTTCGACGGAAGTTGCTTCACGGGGATGGCGCACACAGACGATGCACTCGGCAGCTGAATGATCGAAGAACACAACTCATCTGAGACATCACCCAAGCATTCACGCCGAATCTCCGTCCAACAAGGGCACTGCCAGTAACGGTGAAGCTCATCTTCAACTACCCCCATGTCGCAATGACTGCAAATGGGAGACACAAGCCCCTTAGTGCCGCGGTGCTCCCGGTCAGCCGTCATCGCTGCACCCTGCATCAGAAAGCGCAGGGTTGGATGATCAGCCTCCGGTACCTTCTGCCACAGAGTCCGCAGCCTGTCCCGGTCAACCTCGACTAAACCTTTCATGTCACGCCGCCTGCGAGCCGCATTAGCACACATGCACTGTCGCATGGCCTCGCGGAGGGAATGAGTCAACAGAGACCAATCACACATGCTTCGATGACCCTGCGCCATTGCCTCAACAAGCCGCGTGAGATCATCCGCTTGGGTTGCATTGCCGAAATCGGCACAGACCTGAACCCTTCTAGCTTCAAGAGTGTCCCCAGCAAGCGAGAACTCAACACCTTCGTGGCTGGTAAGCGTGTTCCACTCCAACCAATGCCAACCATACTCGCGAAGCGATGCTTGGAAAGTGGCAAAGAAGGAACCCGGAGGTGCCACTTCCATGTCCCTACACAGACGAAAATGTTCCTGCACTTCACGTCGGAAGTCAGCGCTGACATTGATGAGGCGTCCCAAGATCAGAACTTGCTCATGAAGCAGCGCAGCAGGGATGCAAGTGCGGTGAACGGCACTGAGCACCGCAAGAGACACCTCCACGCACCTACGTGTGTTCTCTTTACCACCTGATAACACATTGACCAAGAGGCGCTGTCTACGAGCATCAGAAAACTCAGCAGGGTCCCATGCCAAAGCCGAGTAAGTAAGCATGGGCATGATGGCCCTCACATCCGCTGCGCGGACATCCCAACCAACCGAGAGGCGTCCCAACCGCTCAGCAACATCTTTGAAGCGATCATAAACTCGGTTTTTGTGCTGTTCATCCGCAACCGGTAAACCCTCCGGATTTAACCGGAACCGGCCACCAAGATTTTCCAGAAGGTTTGCACACTCAAGTCTTTTGCCACCGATGCAAAAGTCCTCACAAGCAGCCTTAGCATCCGTGCAGAAATAATGGCATTTACCAACATTGAACTGCACGCCATGCTTGCGCATCCACCCTTCCAAATACCCATTGGCATCACGCAAGCTGCTTGCATCATGCGACATCAACAGAATGTCATCAGCATACTGCGATGCTTGCACCATGGGCCAGACCTGTGTAATATGCTGCATCGGTTCAACAAGGAACGCCGCGAGACATGCCGGCGCCGTCGGGTCCCCTTGAAACAAACCATTCCGTGCATTAAAAGTTGCATCATGATATCGGCCCTGAAGTTTCCAAATGCGTCTGAGTGCATGCCAATGGCTATGCAGCGCATTAGCCGTGGCCCGATGCACCCCACACTCAATGAGACTGTCGCGGACAGCATCCCAGGGAAGGCTGTCAAAGCACTTCCTGATGTCATAACTTAGGACATGTAAGGGCCGCTGAGACAGCACGGAGTTTTGACACCTTAGAAATACCCAGGCCAAGGTGGATTGAGCTGATTCCCCCTTTCTGAAGCCATGCGCACACGATGGGAGTGACACCTCAAGCAACGCATGGATGCGCTTGGCAATTACCCTGCCCCACGCCCTATACACAAGGGAAGCGACTGAGATCGGGCGAAGATTGCCCGGGTCAGACATCAGGTCAGCCTCGCGTTGTTTGGGTATGAGACTGGTGACAACCGTGCAAAGACACGGGTGCCAGTCCCCTGAGCTAGCCATTCCATTGAGCACAGATGCCAAGCAATCCCAGAAAGGCAACGGCAAAGCTAAAAGTTCAAAGCGTCGCCATCCATCGGCGCCACATGCTGAGCGAAGGGACGTTTGCTGCACCGCAGCTCGAAGGTGTGACCCAGTCATGTCCAACAGATCAAGCGATGCAAGAGTTTTCACGTCAGGCCTTGGCATCGGTACATCTTGGCACCTATGAGCAGCAGGGTGTNNCAGTGAGCCTCGATACTCTTGAAACAAGACTGGGTATCATGAACTGATTGCCAATTAGCGTGTTTGGCCTTTGCCCACACGAAACGATCAGCCTGTGAGTACTTGAGGCGCTCACGCCAGTCATGAACTGCGTGATACCTGTGTTTCTTATTGCGGCGCTCAATCTCCGCCCGAACCCAGGTCAACCAGTTCTTCACAGTATCCCGATCCGGTAGATCAGCGGGACACTCCCCAAGCGGAGCACCCACGAGCAGAATGCGGCGCCGCGCATTTGCCCACAGCGCATGTTGCGTGTTCTCACGCACGCAAACATCCCAACACGCACACAACTCAGCAAGACCAGATCTCACCCTTTCTAGCCTTCTATCGCATGCATCGCGACACATGTCCTCACCAGAACTTTTGAGCTGACATTGCCTAAGCCTGGGAGGCGCAGCCCGACCACAGTACGTGCGACTAACATCCTTAGCATTCCGCCGACATTGACGCATGAGTTCTCGCTCCGCAAGCTCCGTCCAAGCATCATACGCAACACAATGCTGACCCGCCTTGGTCAAGGAGCTGATTGCACGAAACTCTTCCTGATAGACGACATGTGCATCAGTGGTGGGAACACATCCCTGCAGGGGAAAAGGTCGAGGCAGCAGGAGCGTATGCCAAGTATCAACGACCGCCGTGCCTTCAAACTCTGCAAAGATTGGTTTATGAGTTGGCCAAGGTGCCTCCGACAGCACATCACTAGATTGCAGCGCTGGCCACAAAGAAGGTGACACCAGGAGATGATCAATAACAGAACCACGTGAGGAACCTGAGGCCAAACACGTAACAGCTCCCTTGCCATTCACCGTGCGATAGCCCCGTTGCACAAGGAAGAGCAAAGCTGGCGATTCATGCAATTCAGTGTTCAAGTCACCCCCAAGCAGCACGTGGCCCTTCAGAGACAAAATCCACTCAACAACGTCAGTGAGCAGCGATTCTCTGGCACCTTCATCCCTGACATGAGCATAACAGGAGATGCACGTGACAGAATCCAAACATGCCTGCTTGGAGACCGATGCAGTTCCAGCTACTACCCGACCTTGCGTCCAGGCAGCCTCAAGAGTATCAGGCACCTGAAGGGGTTGAATCCGAACCCCAGGAGCCCCTATAATCGCAGCTCCACACGATGATGTCACACCCTTACCCTCTAAGGCATTGCTCCAGACAGCACATCTACCATCCTTTTGGAGCTGTCGAGTCAACAACTGCTGTCCATGAGGCGTGAGAGCAGTTTCACTCAAGAAAGCAATGCTGAAGGCTACTGCACATACCGCTGCAACACGTGAGTAAAGCGAGGTAACATTTGCGACCATAACACGAAACGTGGACTTTGAATCACGCATGCAGGCACCTCCCTTCAGATCCGAAGCCTGCTTATTGTTCTTCTTACATCTCCTACGCCGGGGCTGGGATTTAACAGGCTCAGGAGCCGGACCGACTTCGAGGCATGCATTTGCGCACTGAGGCAACGGCGGCGAGGAAAACTGTTGATCAACCACCTCATTACTGGCATTTCCATCCCCAGACTGATGCATTACCTGGGTACCCGATGCAGCAACACGTCTCCCGACAGGCGAGCGAGAGCGATCTGGCCTCGATTGGAGCTCAGGCAAAGGTCGATACACAGAGTATTCACGTTTAGCGGCTCCCTGTCGTTCAGAGCAAGGCTTGCGTTGCCACTCATGTGGCAACAAAGGCCTACGTCCTCGCTCACACGACTGATCCGATTTGGGACGCTTCTGCCACGGCTGCCTCCACCATGACGGGAGTTCAACTTTGCACAAATGTGTTCGAATCAACTCCCAATCCTGACTACCCCGCAGTTGCGCCAATCGATTGTACCGACCCCTGCCAAGCAAGCGCATTACGACCCACTGGAGAGCAGCATCTTCCAAGCTGTTAGCAGCCAAACGACCCTCGACTTCCCTCTTACTGTAAGCAAGCACGTCACCGAGCTGTTTCCAACGAGGAACATCATGAGCAAGCGACACAAGAGGGTGCAGCAGAGCATCAGAATGCATTCTCTCTACTAGCCAGCATACATCTTGACGGCCTGCAGCTTCCAGGCAAGAAATGATTTCCAGAACCTGCGGGTTCGTAGACCTCGGAAACTGACCCGGAGCCTGATGATGTTGCTTCTCTACACAAGGCTGAGAGCTTTTCGGCAACGGGAGGCGTTCAGCAGGTTGCGGGTCTTTGGCAGGCACAGGTCTAGGCAACTCCGCAGTCAACACAGCATGATACGACCGCGCATTTTGAACTTGAGGGGCATTGTTGGCTTTGGGGCACACCGAAGTCGTGTTTGTCTTACCGCAGGTGCAACGCTTCTGAAGATCTGAAACAGCATCCTCTAAAGCAACTACTCTGTCAGTGATCAACTTCAGCACGGCAGCTGATGGCCCCCCATCCGTACCTTCAGGCACGGAACCACCAGGCGCGGTTTCATCAGACATCAGAACAGCCTCAGGTGTCGCATCAGGCAAAGAATCCAGCACTGTGGGGTGGTCTTGTGTTTCAGGCATGACAAGCTCTGGTGAAGAACCCATGCGCACAACAAGGCTCAACTCGCAATCGGCATGTGTCGGTTTACACACGTGCATCTCAGCATAGAGGGCTAAGACCCAATTCGTGGCGACACAATCCAATATCTCAGGGCAAACAGGGGTGCGGGCATCATCATTGATGACAAAATCAGCTCTTCCCGAAGAAGCTTCACAGTTAACCACAACATAATGACCTTGCTGAGGTGTAGAGCCAAGATGAACAACAATGGAGCAGCATCGAAATTCACGTCCATCAAGCACTATGCTGGGTGGCACCTCAACAGTCTGCTGACATTTGGAGTGCTGTGAAGAAGCTCGTTTGCACTGCACAAGAAGAAAGGCAGAGGGCTGAACAGAAACGTTCATAATCTCGCAGCTTTCAGCATAACATTGACACTGTCTTTCAAGCAAGGTTCCAACTTGACCAACAGTCAAGCAATCGACGAGTGTCATCCCAGCAGTAGCCGAAAAACGACAAAGTCCATCGATGTCATGCACCACATCAGGATTTTCACAACCCAAACAGCATGTGTGCGTGGAAATCGCAACCTGAAAGACTTCAGCAAGGAAGTCAAAGCGCTGTTGCAGATCAGTGATGTACAGAGCGACATCCTCCTGAGTAGCACGCGGACCTCCCAACCCAGACACCATACAGAAGTGATCCCACGCCTCAGCAGCACCCTGAGCAGTGTTAGCGAGCATCAGTTGAGCAAAAGACGTATCCGCAGGGGCAGCGGTAACAAGGTTCGCGAGCGCTTCAAACTTCTGCCTTGTATTCGTGCACATACTCACGACCTGCCGGATGATGTTACATGCCGCGGCAACATAGCAAGTGTTTCCTTTGTTCTTCAGGTACAAAGCTTCAGGAGATGGTGGAGAGGGCACTCCGCGCCATATGTCATGCGAGTACGCACCTACAGGCTGAGCACGCGAAACAACAGACCCTGGGACTGGTAATGGCGGGAACTCCTGATCAGCATCCTCACTAAGCAAACTGAAAGGATTAGCAGCGACATAGGCACCACCCGACGTGTCGGGCATGGACGTTTCTCTCCTAGCCTTGCGCTTGGGGCTACCTTCAGCATCAGCCGCTAGACCTTGACTGGAGCTGCGAACCTGTGCCGGATGCTTCTCAGCGAGCAATTCAAGCAGCAAGGTGATGCTGTGGCCCCGATCATCTTGTACAAGAAAAACAATGTCAGGTGGAGGGTTGGCAGCAGCAATGATAACACGCTTAGCACTACCATTTCGGACGCAAGCGACAACATATGGCTTGAACTGCTCAACCGCAATGGTTTTGACAATGCATTCTGGATCCAGGTGCCTGGGCACATTCTGGATTGCATACTGCCGATGATTGGAAGGCACATGCACGGAGTTAGGTCTTAGAATGGCTTTAACCTTCTCTTCAGCACTCGACGGAACGCGAACCCCCCAACGCTGCGAAGATCGTATCAGTGCCGTCATACATCCACATCCCGCTAAGGCAAGGGTCACACCGCGAGGGATTTGAGCGGGCGCATGCTGCAATAGCTCGGAGTGTGCAGGAATCCAAACCCTTCTAAGATCCGAAATTTCTGGGAAGTCATGTACCTCTCGGCAGGTGAGAGCAAGCTGTCCGGTGCCCTGCTTCATCCACTTGGTGGCAATCGTTTTTGACACTCGGACACACGCTCTGATGACATCCGGAAAGATTTGATGTTGATACCATTTGCAATCACTCAAGCTGCCTGAGCCTCCTGCTTCAAGCATGTTGGCAAGTGTGCGACTGATCAATGCAAAGTTGTGGATGCTGCTTGGCTTTCCCTTGCCACCCTTGCCTGATGTGTGATGCTTACCCTTACCTTTCCCAGTTCCCTTGCCCTTCTCAGCACTCAATTCAGAGCTGCACTGCTGAAAAGCAGAAGCATGAGATCCCTCAGACAGATCAAGCCACCACTCAATCAGCACCTCAACAGTCTCCACGCTAAGAAGCTGAACAGCATTCGGATCAACTTTGACAAGACGATCAACTCCGAGATTAGTGATGTACAACTTGGTAAGATGCACCGAATCATCAGGATGCATTACCACCGCTTCGATAGGCATTGCATCGCTACGCGCGGTAGGCGCAGTGCTGAGCAAAGAGAATAAGCCCGGAGGGGGAGCATGCGATGGCACACTTTTCATAACCTGGACCGCGACAGCATCATCAACAAGATAAGCACCAGGTACTCGGGACCACATTTGAGCAACATGATCTCCTGCACATTCTGCCCGAAGAGCATCAACACGACCATCAGATTTCAGAACACTGAATTCATTCGATTCCTTGGCAGGCTGAACTTGTTTGAAGTCTTTGGCACGTAATCTCCAGGTGGAGATGTGAGGGGTGCGTGGCAACAGCTCCTTCGGGACACTTGATACCACAGCATCTGATTTTTGCCATCCCAGCTTAGCCTTGAAGGCAGCCCCACAAAGAATGTCCAGTTGTTGTTGAAGATTTTTTGCGGAATCAAGTCTTTTCTGGGTGGCTTCATTCGCGAGAAGCATCCGAAGCTGAGCAACCGGGGGTGCTAAATGCCTGGCTCGAAGACCTTCAAGCACCTTATCAACCCACAGTTTCGTGCCGACAACAGGAAGGTTATTCGATTCTGGCCCTCCACCGCACACATCTCTGACCCGGCAAGAGGAAAGGCTTTGCTGCTTCGCGCACCGGACAGAAGGCATCATTGCATCAGAAAGGTCACGGGACGCTTCTTGTCCTTTTGCCATGCGCTGTGACCAAAACATAACAAGCACAGACATACATGCACACGTGCTTGCAACGAACTGCGTGAAAGCACACAGTTTCTCGATGTGGCACATACAGGCAATTTCATCCAACTGCTGTGTGTAAACACACGCGTTCGGCAGATTACTAATTTCATGATTGGGCTCACGGATGCTTGCAACATCTGCCCACATCAAGACGATGATCATGGCACACATCAGGTACGCACAGCGTTTGCAAAGAGACTGTGCCATCAGGTTCTGAATGCAATACAAGTTGCCGAGCTTGGAGCCAAGACACAGGTCTTGACCAGCCACTCCACTTCGATCAAAGTGCTCGGCTTGG